AAAAAAAAACAGGTCTCTGCTCTCTGCCAGTTGAGCAGCAGTACCCTGTCTTTCACCAACTACTCCAAGACTCCTGTCATTTATTCAGCATGACACAACATGTATGTCTTTGGAGACTTCAATATCCCCATGCTAATGGGCAAATTAGTGTGAGAGAAAATAAATAAGGCCATATTTGCCCTAAACAAAGAACTAGACCAGGTGGCTCCAATAGACATTTGCAGGGCACTACACCCCCCCCCCCAAATAAGCTGAGTACACATTTTCCTCAAGTGCCCATGGGTTATTCTCCAGAATCTACTACTGACTGGGTCACAAGACAAACATCAACAAATTCATGCAGACAGAAGCCATATCAACTATCTTATCTGACCATAAAGGTATCGAACTACAAATCAACCACAAAAAGAAAAGAAGGGATCACATTCATACTTGGAGACTGAGCAATACACTACTTAACAACCACTGAGTTAATGAAGAAATCAAGGAAGAAATTAAAACACATGGGTCTCCCTGGTGGCGCAGCGGTTGCGCACTGGGTTGCGAAGTTGCCTGCAGCCCCTGCAGCGCCGGTTCGATCCTCGGCCACCGGGTGAGGGTCCCACATGGTGCACAGACCTCTCCTGCGGCCCGCTGCTCCCCTCAGCAGTGTACTTCTCAGTCTGCCTGTTCTGTTCTCCGCTCTGGCTCTGGTGAATTCTCTCACCCTCCCGCGCTTCTGGCTGTTCCCAGTGCTTGTATAAATAAATAAATCTTAAATAAATAAATAAATATATATATATATATATATGGTTAAAAAAGAGAAATTAAAAAACAACTAGAGGCAAATGATAATGAGGACACAACATTCCAGAATGTATGGGACAGAGCAAAAACAGTTCTAAAAGGGAAGTATACTGCAATATAGGCCTAATAAACTAGAAAGAGCCCAAACAAACAACCTTGTTCTTCATCTCAAGAAAGAATAAAATATCCAAAAGCCAGTAGAAGGAAGGAAGTGATAAAACAGAAAGCAGAAATAAAATGAAATGGAAATCAAGAAACCCAAAAGACTGATGAAACAAAAAGCTGGTTCTTCGAAAAAATAAAAGAAGCAAACCTTTAGCAAGGCTCACTAAGACAAAGAGGAAGAAACCTCCAAAATGAAAGAGAAGTTACAACAGACACTGCAGAAATTCAGAGCATAATAAGAGATTACTCTAAACATTTATATGCAAACAAATTCAACAAACCAGACAAAATGGACAATCATCCAAGAATAGAATTATACAATCATCCAAGACTGAATAGGAAAAATAGAAAACCTGGACAAACCAATCACAAGCAAGGAAACTGAAACAGTAATCAAAACTCTCCTAAACAACAAAAGCGCAGGACCAGATGACTTCACAAGTGAGTTCTACCAAACCTTCAAAGATGAACTGGTACCTACCATGCTCATCCTCTTTCAAAAAATTAAGAAAGAATTCTTCCAAACACATTTTATGAGACCAACATCACATTAACACCAAAACCAAAGAAAACACAAAGAAAGAAAACTACAGATCATTCTCCCTAATGAATATACATGCAAAAATCCTCAATAAAATCTTAGCATTCCAAATCCAACAATGCATTAAAATGATTATACACCATGACCAAGTGAGATTTATACCAGGAACACAAGGATAGTTCAACGTTGAAAATCAATGTAATACACCACATTGACAAAAAGAAGAAAAGGAAAAAAACACATGATCATGTCAATCGATGCTGAGAAAGCATTTGATAAGATTCATCATCCATTTTTGAGGAAAACCCTTGAAAAACCTGTGATAAATGGAAGATATCATCACATAATAAAAGCCATATATGACAAACCTACAGTCAATATCATGCTTAATGGTGAGAAATTTAAACTTAAACTTCCCTTTAAGATTTAGAACAAAACAAGGATGTCCATTTTCACCACTACTTTTCAATACATTACAATTCCTAGACAGAGTAACTGGGCAAGAGAAATCAATAAAAAATCCAAATTGTGAAAGAAATAATGCTTTGATTATTTGTAGTTGATGGGATAATATACATAGAGAACCCCTAAGACTCCATGGTAAAACTAATTGAAATCATAAGCAGTGTTGTAAAACAACATTGCCTCAATAAAGGATAATGCAATCTAAAAAAAGGAAAAAGATCATAAATTGTGATTTCATGCATTTGATGTGTACTTATGTGTCCACTACATGCAGATATCATCAGAAGAAGAATCAGAATCCTTCCAGAAAACATGTGATTTCTAGAGATTCTCTTTGAAGATTGGCACAGCTTAAAATGTATTTTTTCACTTAATGGGAGATTAAGAACTTCATTTCTAGAACTAGAAAATTTAATTCTAATTAATAAGAAAACAAAATGTTTACGTATTTCTTCTCTTTATTTTCTAAAAGATCAAAACATTTACACCAAGACTATACCAACCCCAAAGAGAAGATAGTTCCCTCAATTAAGTATAACAAACTGTAAGATAAGCTAGAAACCAGAAGAAACAGAAGAGCCAAAAGTTCATAACCCAAGATAAATCTGTTGAGATCTGAAAGACAATTCACTTTGCATTACCAACGAATACAGCAGTGCTACATTAAAGATCAGATACCACTTACCTAAACTTAAAAGGATGGGTTGATTTCTTTCAGTGAAAGTGCATGTAGAACTGGATTAATTATGCTAAGCAACATAAGTGACAGACAAAACAAATACCAGCAATTTGATTCCCTGGTATGTGGACTACAGAAAAAACAAAAGGAAAAGATAAAACTGAACCAAAACAAACCCTGGAGACTGGACTTCAGAAAGGAGGCTACCAAAGGGGAAGGGAACCACTGACTGGTGGAGGACTGAGGATGCCTTGGTGTTGTGTCTTTTGTAATTTTAGACAGCTGGGATTTTAGATGGTGTGGTGTGGAAACATACATCTGGAGAGGCGTGAACCCGTACTCCTGAATCATATACAATGTTGGAAACCGTTACTTGCATAAAAAAATTAATTTTCTTTCAGTTCCTCATAAAAATCACTTTTAAGAAATTCAGGAAAGCATGAGCATTGTTTTTTATTACCTGGCTTTCTTAATTTACATTTTTAAAAAAGTATTTTCATCCAATTTTATGGTATAAAATTCCTGCTCTCACTCAACCTCACAATATCTGTCAGGTTTTTATAACAATTTCTCTCATTTTGATTCTTTTTCGATCTCTTTCATGATTATAAGATAACACTAGATGAGTTCACTTATCTTTAGAATTTAATAAAGAAACAAAGTAAGAGAACAAACCAAAATGAACCCTTAAACTGTGGCTGTAGAACTCAGGCTACCAGAGGGGCAGAAAGGAAGTGAAATGCAGATGAGGCCCAGTGAATATGGTGTAGGATTATAGAGGCTTTACTGGTGGGTGTGGTATTGTTATAGGACAGGGAGAGGGGCAGCCCAAACCCCACAAACCTGCCTATTCTAAATGGGTTCTGCCATCCGCCGCATCAACACAAAACATAGGAGACTTTAATGGGAAGGAACTTTAATAAAACTAGGAAACAATACAGGTAAGGCAAAGAGTCTAGTTTCTAAATCAAGCACCCAAAGTTACCCATCCCCTCGTGGGTAAAAGTCCATCCAAATGGGATTGGCCCAGAGCAAGGCCCCAAGGCCTGCCACAAGTCTAAAGCATCTTCCAGTGGGGACCCACAGAAAAGGGTCACAAACAACCGGACAAGCCCGGAAGGAAAAGAGCAAAATCAACATCAAGATAAAAGCTGCCATTGTCACCTCCCCACGGGTCTCACCGACATCTGTGTCACCTAGTCCACGACCAAAAGACAAGCGCAGTTTCTTCACGTGTCTCTAGGCTCCATGTGCCTTCTCCAGGTCTCCTGGCTCCATCTTGCTTCCTTCCTTTCTCAGTCTCTTCTGCAGCTTCTCCTCTTCCTGCTCAGCTCCACCCTCCCTTGGGTGGGGCAGGGAACCTCCCCTTTCCTGGGGACCACCCTGTTACAATCCCCCCTTTTAATTTTTATTCCACCATATCTATGGTGGCACAATCTCAGGGTGTAGTCTTAGGAGACAGTCTTTTTTAGGGTTACAATGTGTGTAAGAGAAGCAACAATTAGTCAGCAGCATTGTCCATGAATGTCCAGTATGACAGTCGCCAAATCTGTTATAGGACAGGGAGAGGGGCAGCCCAAACCCCACAAACCTGCCTATTCTAAATGGGTTCTGCCATCCGCCGCATCAACACAAAACATAGGAGACTTTAATGGGAAGGAACTTTAATAAAACTAGGAAACAATACAGGTAAGGCAAAGAGTCTAGTTTCTAAATCAAGCACCCAAAGTTACCCATCCCCTCGTGGGTAAAAGTCCATCCAAATGGGATTGGCCCAGAGCAAGGCCCCAAGGCCTGCCACAAGTCTAAAGCATCTTCCAGTGGGGACCCACAGAAAAGGGTCACAAACAACCGGACAAGCCCGGAAGGAAAAGAGCAAAATCAACATCAAGATAAAAGCTGCCATGGTCACCTCCCCACGGGTCTCACCGACATCTGTGTCACCTAGTCCACGACCAAAAGACAAGCGCAGTTTCTTCACGTGTCTCTAGGCTCCATGTGCCTTCTCCAGGTCTCCTGGCTCCATCTTGCTTCCTTCCTTTCTCAGTCTCTTCTGCAGCTTCTCCTCTTCCTGCTCAGCTCCACCCTCCCTTGGGTGGGGCAGGGAACCTCCCCTTTCCTGGGGACCACCCTGTTACAGTATAACTTATATTTTTTGAGGTGTGAAACTATATCTCTAAAATATATACAGTGTTATAAATCAAATTTACCCCAGTAAACATTAAAAAATGAATTAATAAATTCAGCTTCTTTCAAGAAAGAAAGAGTAAACCATTGGGGCAATAATTCATGAATGAACGCCACACAGAGATAAAAAATGGAAACTAAATTCAGAGCAGAAAATTTCACAAGAGCACACATTACCTTAGTTTCAAAATCTATGCTTTCGGATAATGTAGCACATGAATCCTCAAAGTTTAGTTTCATGGGACGCCTTTAGAGATAAAATATACAATACAAATTTCATTTCAACATTGAAGAATCAAGTAAAACTTTGCTACCTACCTATATTAATTTTCTTTATATAATTCAAATTTGGGGTCAGTTTTAAAAAAAAAAAAAAAAAACAACTTTTGTTTCTATTTCTGCCTCTATTTCCCCCAACCTGTGAAATATCCAATAAAATTCCATTCTTAGTGCCCATAACAAAACATTACAGCTTCTGAGGAAAAAACATAGTTCTCACAAAAATTACTGAAGCTTAAATTGAAAATCCAATTAATAGATGGCATAACTTTTATTATCTGAACTACAATAAATCTGATGACCTAAAAGAAGAAAGATATACTGTTTCTTCTTCATAACCTGTCCTTGGTTCAAAGACCAATCTATGTCAGTCAAAAATAGCAGTCTTGTTCCTTCAGCATGCAAACCACTTATTAGGATTCATTCCTTCCCTTTACTCTAAAATTATATAGGGAGTTCCCTAAAATGTTTGAAAACTAAATGTACTGAAGTCAAAGAATAATTAACTAATTCCAGAGGAATTGAAACATTAAAAATTATGAATTCTGATTATTTTTCCTATTTAGGTCCTGCCTTTCAGGTCCCCATAAACTGGCAAGCCTTTAAAAATGTTCATAAGTACTCAGATACCCAAGGGGAGAGACTACTGCAGCAAAGACAATGTCCTGAGTTCTGCCATTATTTCCCTTACATACAATTTAAATATCTCCCTTACTACTCCCTTTACTAAATATCTCCCTTACTACTCCCATTACTACTACTCCCTTACTACTCCCATTCCCCCACATTGACCAGGCTCAATGGCAGTCTCCAACCTCTAAATCTTCAACCTATGAAGGCACAGATTCCAGAAACAAGGCTGAGCTCAAATGACCAAGAGCAGGTCATTTCCCTGCTGCTGGAAAATAAGCTCAACAGAGCTTATGCTCTCACTACCAACATAGGCCTGTGACCAAGCAGCCAGATGAGGCACTGTGACTAACCTGACAGTCATCCTAGCTCCATGCAACCCTGCCAGCACATGGACAGGGACATTGGTGAATTGGAAAGAGAGGCCGAGACTAAGAAACACCTGCCTTAGGTGAAAGATCTATGTAGGTTAGTAATCTCAACTACCGTAGTTGGTGTGGGAGATCTAAGGCAGCTTCTCTAACTTGGGGTGGAGGAGGATATCACAATCTTATTTTCTATAAAGAGACACTTCCCAGTGGCTCATATTGGTTTTATGTGTTTTGATACAAATGAAGTATGCTAGTTCCCTCAATTCAACAAACAAAAAAGCAGCAAACTATTTAAGTCTCCGCTAAACTTTCTATTTAATATGCCTCTACTTAATATTCCCAACTTGCTTGTTCCTGTAGTTTCTCTTTATATAACTTGCATAAACCCCAATATTTTGTAACTCTTTTCTAAAACCCTTATTCCTATCAACTCGATGGTGGTGTTCTTGAAGTTTGGCCGCCTCTGCTAATTCATTCTTATCTTCTTCCATTGCGTTCACTAGACCCAATTCCCACCCCTCTATTTTTTTTTTAAAAAAAAAGATGAGTAGGATTTAATCAATTGGATGAGGATAGGTAGATTCAGGCATTCAAAGGGTATGGTCTATTGACAATATTTCCATAACATTATTTTTTTATGTTCTTATAATAAATTTTATTTTTATATTCCCCATACAATTGCAACCCCCCCATTCTGACCCTAATCCCTCCCCTCCCGCCCCCCACCCCCCAAAAAGTGTCTCTGGTTCATAGTTTTTTGTTGATTTTGATTTTCACTTTCTTATCGTTATTCATTTTCCTGGTCCCTTATTTAAGTTTTCTAGATTCCTGCTATGAGTGAGACCATCCGGTATTTTTCTTTTTCTTTTTGGCTTATTTCACTGAGCATGATCCCTTCCAGTGCCATCCATGTTGCTGCAAATTGCATGTGTTTATCTTTTTTGAATGCTGAGTAATATTCCATGGTATATATGTTCCACATCTTCTTGATCCAGTCATCTATTTTTGGGCATTTGGGCTGTTTCCAAAGCTTAGCTATTGTAAACAGTGCTGCTATAAACATAGGTGTGCAGGTGCTCTTTGGAATTGATGTTTCTGTATCCTTTGGGTAAATACCTAGGAGTGGAATTGCTGGATCATATGGAAGCTCTATGTTTAGTAGGTCAAGAAATCTCCACACAGCTCTCCATAGTGGTTGGACCAGTTTGCACTCCCACCAGCAGTGCAGAAGAGTTCCTTTTTCTCCACACCCTCGCCAACATTTCTTGTTGCTAGTTTTTTTAATATGTGCCATTCTCACTCCATCCCTCTATTCTTAAAAACTCACCTGGAGACAATCTCTTTTCAAAAGGAAAAATCTGAATTTAAATCTCATTTTTGCCATATGCCATACCCAAAGAAATCAGTTTAATCTCTTTGAATTTCAAATTATTCATTTGAACAGTTATTTGGCTTAGAAGACAAACATAGGCTGAAGTACTACAGGGTGTTTTGAGTGACTGAATCTCTAAGATTCTTTAAAATTCTGAAATTCTACATGCTTTTTATTTTGTTATAGAAAAATGGAGACTAACTCCTGGTAGAAGTAGAAAAAAATAGAACAAAACAATCATCAAGAACAGCAGAGAAGAAAGGCAAAAAAAAATCAAGAAAAGCCTACAGAACTTATAGAAAGTCATGGAAGAAGAATAAAAAAGGTACACCAAAAATGAAAAAAAATACAGAGTACTAGCCAAGGCTACTAGCCTAATGATTATACCAGACTGTGAAGTCATAAAGTATAGAAATCAATGAGAAATATCCTCTAAATAGATGCTGAGGTTAACATAAGATGTTCTATAAACCACAGATCATCTTCAACTAAAGGAGAACAATTTATCTCAAGGACCATAAAATATCTCTACACCTAAGAAGACCTGCATGATTGAGTGTTGCTGATGTAAAACCTGCAGTCTATGACCATAGCTGAGATCTACCCTAAAACTTTTGATGGTAAGTGCAAAGTTTTAGTTACCACTGCCATTGTTAAATGTATTGGGACAAATGCCTGGACTAAGCCAGTTTCTTAGGGAAACCTGAAAATAAAAATTAGCACATAACTAAATTGAACTTTCTGAGTTGTTTGAGTTGGGTCTATATATTCATGCCAGAGCTACACAAGCACCTAGGGACAAGAGAGTGGACAGGGAAGCCAGGCAGGCTAATGGTCAAGTCATGGAGCAAATACCTTCTTAACCATGGAATTGTGGGTGAACTAAGTTTGCCTTACAAACTATCTAATTTGTAAGGCATTATTGTCACATGCGATGCTTCCAGAAGCTGTTGCCTAATTGGTAAAAAGTGGGCTGTAACAGCAGTTACTTTGCAAAGCTATTCAAATAACTATATGAGATAACAAATGTGAAGCACATAACACAGTGTCTAGCCTGGAATAAAACACGCAACAAATGTTGACTGCTTTTCTCTGCATTCCATCAATTAAGACATTTTTAAAATCTGTAAAATCCTACCTCTTTTCAGTATCCTTGTGAGCATTCATTTTTGCTATTAAAGAAAAAAACATTTTAATCAACAGTAGATAACATAGAATATTAAATGTAGAAGACAGCTAACAAATATTCCTTAGGGACCAACTTGGAGACAATGCTCCCCCCTCCTTTATATTTATCAAAAGCAAGATATTTGATATCACTTATCAAAATATATTTACTGACCTTTGGTACCAACAGTGAACTGTTATTTACAGTGACCATAATTCTAGTCAAACCTATAAAACTGACACAAAATGGTATCATCAGCAGAATCAGCATCATAAACTGACATTGTCAAACCTACATAACACGATTCTTCTGGATAGCCACCATTAGAAATACTTAGAGGAGAGTAAAATAATTTTGCTGTGACATAACACAACTTCTCCAGGTTTTTAGTCAACACCGCTTGGTTTACGATGAAACATGGACTGTGATGGAGGACTATGGGTGCTTTGGTGGCAGGAAAACTATAGTGACATCTTTGAGAAGAAAGCCTCAAATCCTTTGAGAAAACAAACAAGGATGTAAAATAATGATATGTCGTCAATTTAAAAAACCAAGGAAACTTGGTCCAGAGACAATATACAATGCAGCAGGAAAAACAGGAAACACTTTTACTGTGTTCATACTTACCGCAAGCTAAGTATGAAAGACTGTGACTCTAGTTTGATAAAGTACAGCCTGTGGAGACTATCTCCTTCCATAAATAGTCTCTCTGGATATACTTCATAGAGTAGGATGGTTCAGTTAATGCTGCATAGTAGTGAATGATGTCATTTTTCTCAACCCTCCCCATTATGCATTCAACATTTATAGAAATCAGGATTTTTAGTTTGTAAGGCATTACTGTCACATGCTATGCTTATGAACAGTGGCAAAAACCATAAAGAACAAAGAACATCTTGAATGAGAACATTTTAAGCATTCAAGATATAAGCTGTATGATACCATCTATATGAAATTTTGACAAAGGCATAACTATGGAGACAGTAAAAAGATCAGTGGTTTCTGGGGTTTAGAAAGAAGGGAGAGATGAGCAGATAGAACACAGAGGATGTTTAGAGCAATGCAACTATTCTGTATTCTGTACAATGCTACAATTATAGATCCATGTCAATATACCTTTTTCAAAATCCATAAAATACGCAACACCAAGAGTGAACCCTAGTGTAAATTATGACTTCTGGGTGACAATGATGAGTCAGTGTAGACTCACACATTTTAATAAAGGTACAATTGTGGTGCAAGATGTCAACAGCACATTTGGCTGCACATGTGTGGGAGCCAGGATATACAGGCACTCTGTACTTTCTGCTCAGTTTTGCTGTAAACCTAAAACTTCTCTAAAGACTTACTTTTTCAAAGGGTTTCCTCTGACCTGCTATTACCACATAATAATTTATCAAGGCACAGTCACTTTAAACATGAAAATAAAGTAAGCAAATACGGATATTATCTCCCTAGCTGATGTACATGATTATATATAAAATAACCTCTTTTAATTTTAAACTTAAGTGGCAAAATCTGATAAACATCTTTGACTATGCTATTTTATAATTGCAATGGGGTTTAGCATAATAAGAATCAAATTAGATCATCTACCTAATAAGCAATTTTCATTTTAATTTTAAATCAGAACTCACTATGCTTATTTTGTCTCAGAGTTATCCTGAAAGAGTAAGAACATATAAAGAACACATTGTAATTACTTATACTAACCACAGTAATTTATGTATAAATACCTTTAAGTACCCATCAAAAATCAAAAATGTAAGCAGCACTGTAATTTAATGTGGGTAGTGCAACTGAAACAAATACCATGTTATAACATCATATTACCTATTAAAATAAAATTTTTAAGATAAAGCCATACATTAAGGTTAGCGTTAACTACTATGTAGAAAGATTTCATACAGTGAGCCTGAGACATCTCTCCTTAGAAATTCCTGCTTGAAATGGCTGACACTTGGTGAGTGTCTGGGAAAGTAGATTTGGGGAAGGTTCCCTCTACTTCCCAACTGCTAAATTATGTGTACAAACAATGTGGTTTCTGCTGAACACTTGCTTTCTTTCTGGGCATGTGGAATTTCAGTACATGCTAGGGAGAGGATGTCTAGGCTGCAGCAAAACCCTGGAGCACTAGGTCTTCTGAGACACGGGGCTGGCAGACACCACTTTACATGTGCTGTCATATTTTGAGATGGAGGAACTAGGCACATTCTGAGAATGCCACAGGGAAAAGACGCTTACAAGCTTGCACCTGTTTTCCTTCAGACTTTGCCCAAGACATCTTTTCACTTTGCTGATTTTTCCTTGCATCCTTTCACTATAATAAATCACAAGCATGAGGCCTCCCTAGTGGCGCAGTGGGTTGAGTGCAGCACTGTGAAGCTGTCGGCAGCCTCTGCAGAGCGGGTTCCATTCCCGGCTGGCCAGGGAGATACCCACCCTGGCTGGCCAGCGAGATACCCACATGGCGCAGCAGACCTCTCCTACCTCTCCTGCTGCTCCCCTCAGCAGTGTATTTCAGTAGATCTGCCTGTTCCTCTCCCCATTCTCTCTGGTGAATCCTCTCAAACCCTGCACCTCTGGCCTGTACTCCAGTTCTTGTATAAATAAAAATAATAGGCCTCCCTGGTGGGGCAGTGGTTGAGCGCTGGGCTGCAAAGCAGCACCCAGCCTCTGCAGCGCCGATTCTATCACCGGCCGTCGGGGAGCATCCCACATGGTGCGCAGACCTCTCCTGCTGCGCCAGCTGCCCCCTCAGCAGTGTACTTTGTCGTTCTGCCTGTTCTGCTCCCCACTCTGGCTCTGGTGAATTCTCTCACCCTCCTGAGTGTACCCAGTGCTTGTATAAATAAATAAATAAATAAATAAATAAATCTTTTAAAAAAAAACATATTTTAAAACAAGTCCTATTTGTTTTGGTTTTTGGTTTTTGTATTTTTTTTTCTTTTTTTCTTTATAATCACTTTCTTGTAGAAGTCCTATTTGTTTTAATGTGATTAGAGGAAATATATAAAAACTTAAATTTTTAGAACTTTTTTTAGAAAGGCAATACTGTCTCAGATTTCAAATGACTACAAGAAATTTCTTTAATTCTGAGAAGAAAACTATTAAGAAATTTTAAATATATATGCAATTTGTACACCTCTTTCATTGCTCTTTCATTATCAAAATTCCTGTATTCTTATTTTTTCCTCTGTGGTAGCACCACCAAGAGTAATTCACTATCTGAAGTCTTACCTAGATCATTCTCTTCCTTCTTTTTATCGTTTTTCTTCTTTTCTTCTTTTCTGTTCTTTTCATTCTTTTTGTTCTCTTTGTCCTTTTTACTTTTATAGGCAAGTATAATTTTCTGATTCCTGTATGTAAAGAAAGGTAATTAATAAAATTGCTAATTTTAATACTTATGTGAACAACATTTTTATTCTCACAATATTTCAGGTAGTAACAGATAATATCAAAACTTTAATGATCCCATATACTTCAAATGTGTTAAGTGCTACAATTTGTTTTTAATCAAACAGGTAACTTAAAGATGAAAAGGGGCTGTAGAGTGCAGTAATTAGAGTTAGCTAAAAATATGGAAAGCATCTTTATGTCGAGTTTCAAATAGCCATCTGATCCTGGACAAACCACTTCCCTTTGGCTCCCTTTTCCCCTGTAAAACAGTTATCTGGCTGTCCCATTCACAGAGTTATTAGGAAATTTAATATACCCACCACACCCCAAAAACAACAAACAAACAAACAAAAAAACTAATGCACAGAGAAATACTGAAGCAATGGAATAATTTCTTTCTGAATTTTACTGGTAGAACTTGGGATACCAAACTCAATTAAATTTGTGCTTTTTTATAGGATCTAACAACCAAATGTTATATTTTGGCTAGTAATGGCTCTTCCCTTGGGGCTTAGAATTCATCTCAGCTACTACAGATTTTGTAACTATATTTATAAATATATTACTTCATTAGATAATATAATTGTCCCCTGTAATTGTAACCAATCACATGAAGAACAGAAAACTAAAAAGTCAAGCCTGGTTTTGACTAGTTCTATTCCTTCTCTACTTCTTAAAACTCATAATTAGTTGATCGTCCTTAGAATGATGTGTAATCCCCAGGTTCATATCCAATTGACCTGGAAGACAACCTGTTTTTATAATACATGGAAACTGAAGAGTCACAGATGGGGTTTAGCTTTCCTAACAAACAACTAACCGTTCTATTGAATTACCTCCTTGTAAAGTAGAACCTGAAAAAAAAATTGAAACTTCTCATAGACACAAATCACTTAGGAGGTTTTCACTATTATGAAAAACAGATTATTTGAGGGATCAACCTTAATGAACCTCAGACCAGTTAGCACCCACTATTCTGGGAAGGACAATATGGCACTTTCCACAACCTAAAAAATGTGTCCCACATGATGTAAAGCAGATTTGGGGTACAGATCTGGTACCAAAAGAGAAAGGAAAATCTTATCACTTCCTGCATGACTCTTCAACTACTCTGATAGCTGAGATTGGGTCCAAATAACATCTGTTAACAAAAAAGACAGACAAGATCCTCAAAGGGTAATTCATGGTCAAGGTGTAGGCTAAGATATGGGTTCTACAGTTTTTGAGTAGGGAATAAGGATGTGTGTGGCTAAAGCTTGGAGGTGCTGCTGCAAGAACATAGTGGCTGAGCATATGACTATATGTATATGAACTAAAGAAAGTAGTGACATTGAAGTCCTAGTGGAAATCACCATGGAGACGGAGGAATCTGGATCAGCAGAGGCATCCTGGGAGCAATGGTCAATAGTGACCAGACTACAAGAGCAGTTTCAGGAGCAACACTGCAGCAACAGAATCAATGGAGACAAAATAATGATTAGAATGTCTGTCACCATTTGCCCTCCATACTACTTGTGAAAAAGAACTGTCTTTCATGGATTTCAAGAACTCATTGCTTAGGTTTTTAGAAAATTCAAGGGGGAAAGATAGGTGATAGCATCTAAGGGGAAAGTACAGGATTTTCTGCTAAAATGAACTTTTCTAAATGCAAATAAGTAGTCAGAAAAATCAGACATGTGACATGATTTTGTAGAATTTTGCTGGAATGAAGTGGATCACATTAGAATCCCTAAGGATGAAGATTGAAAAGTGCCCACTGCTACTCCCAACTAGTCTAGTCATGGCTTGATTTCTGACCGATGCTATGGACTACCGCAATGCCATTCCACAACTGCCTACCCAAACTATGAAATCCCACCTGTTACAGAAGAAGCAGCAGTTAAATTATTTTAATCCTCAGGTAACATAGCTAACATTTTAATGTAAACACTTACTTAATAAAACCACGATGATGGGCAAACTGGTCAGCAGTCCTTCCAAATACATCTTCAGAAGAGCAATCAATGCCATGCCGGAGGAGAACATGAACAGTATCTGCTGAATCATAACATGCAGCATGCGCGAGGGCTGAGCTAAAACAGCAGAGATAACTTCATCTTTGGGAACTTAAGTTACTTAGAGAGCTTCTTGGATCTGCTCTACCAAATTCATCCCTTGCCTGTCTTTCTAGAATTGACCATTTACATGTGCAAGTATTCATGTTTGTAACTTAAGCTGAAGGCTAAAAGAAGGCTTCTTGTCCCATTGGGACCCATCATAGTAGAAGTTACTAATTTAAGGTCCTTCGATGGACAAGAAACAATGCCAAGATCACTTATCTGAAATAGATGAAGCTCTAAATGAAGAATTTTCCATTTCTTCCTTAGTCTGTTATGTTAGCAGTTAAAGGTCAGCTAAGGAAAAGTTATCTGCAAGCTTAAAACAATGATAATGATAGTAATGGTAACAATACTCATAGCTGCAGTCTAAGCATGAAATTAAGTGCTATATCAACAATCTTACACAAATTGACCCTCAAAAGATATACAGTTGACCTATGCACATTGTAGGGGTTGAGGTGCTGACATAGCAGCACAATTGAAAATCCATGCTTTTGACTCCCCCAAACCTTAACTAGTTATAGACTGCTATTGACCAGAAGTCTTACTGATAACATAGACAGTTGATTAACGCATCTTTTGTATTTCTATATATTCTTACAATAAGGAGAGCTAGAGAAGAGAAAATGTTATGAAGAAATGTAAAAGATGCATTTACAGTATTGTAGCATATTGATTGATAGTGTAAGTTTACTCCCAACCCTTCTGCTCACTGCAATAGAAACAGGAGGTAGATATTAAATTATTACAGTCAGACAGTAGTATACACTAGTCAATTGTATGTTCTAATGATTTAAAACTTCATCTTTACATTGGTTCACATTTTCTTTGATTAAGAATGCCGCACATGCACAGTCTGTACACACAGACTGTGTACAGTGTATAAGTTTTGACAAATTTTTATTTTCATAATAGATTTGTATAAAATTTATGGTAGTAAATGATAAAATAGACTATTTTCTACATATAATTTATGCATTCATGACATATCTAACTTTTTTTGAACATTTTCAATATTTCAAGGCTGCAGTTTGTGAGTTTTTCAAATTGTTATAAAATTCAAAACAATTTTCCAACATTTTCATTTTTCAAAATCCACAACCCATGAAGTTGAAATCTGTACTGTTCAGGGGTCAACTGTGCTATTATCTTCCTTTTAATAACATTGGTTGATGATAAGCAATGTTCCTAAAGTCACACACCTAGCAAGTGGCAAAGCTAGGAATTAAACCCAGGCCTGTGGAATCTAAAACACATCTCTTCTCTGTCACCTACTTATGAGTTTTTCTAAAGAAAAAAATTATTCAATGAAAGTTGTCTTTCTTACTTCCACCCATATCAATTGAAAGTAAAATCATGAAAATAAACTAGAAGTGACAAAGGAAAAAAAACCTGATGATCCTGTAGTATCTAGTAATAGTAATTAATATTCACATAGGGATGCAAGCTAATATAATCAGTAATCTTCAAAGAAAGAAATTTATAACAAGTATTATCCAAAGAATAAAATCAACCTCTCTTTATGTCTAATACGCATCTTTTAAGGAAAAATATTGAAGTGGAAAAGCTAAAGTCATATTACTAGAAGGATGTGCAATTTCAGGTTGGTGTCATATAGTAAACAAAAAGAGTCCACGCTTTACAAGACTAATAAACCAATAGGAAACCATGTGAGGTAACATAAGGGCATATGACCCAAAGAATCAGATTGTGTCATCAGCTAATATAAGAACTATGAATCTTGCTGTGTTGTTCTTCACATTGCACAGTAAGAATAACTGGTTCTCCAAGGGCAAGTCCTAGGAGTCTGACTGTGGAACTGATGTGCCAGTGGGGGATGGAGAGAAGTGTGTAGAATTCCAGTGTGGGAGGGTGCACAATGGCTATGTGGGAAGAGTGTGGGTGTGTTAGTGGTGGTTGTGGCATGGTAACATACATCTGAATAGGTGGGATCCTTTACTTCTGAATTCTATACAGTGCTGTACACTAATGTTGCCTTAATAAGTGCATATGCGCACGCACACACACACACAATTAAAATATTTGGGAAAAAAAAAGAATTGGCTCTCTTCCTAACAGGACATGTTGATATTAATAATTAAAACTCATGTGCTTCTCATTAATTTAATCTTTCTGGTTTCGGTGATTGTTACCACTCTAGAACCACATAAAGTTTAAAATACATACCTTCCAAACCTATCAACAGCATTTATATCCGCTCCCTTGTTTAACAAAAACTCTATTATTTTTTGGTTTTTTTCCCTTGCAGCATATAAGAGTGGTGTGCATCCATTCTGTAAAACAACAAAAACAATTAATGGTTTACAAAATCACATATTTTAAACTGAATTTTAAAAACTTAAAAGAGATCCCCTGAACTTAAACATATAAGAAAAATCAACTTAAAAGTCACCCCTTCTTTCTCACCAGTCACTTCATATGTGTTGTTCTTTCTCTTTAAAATACTTCTCTCTCTAACCTCAACAGATGCAAAGTTATTGTCCAATACTCTTGTCAAGAATTTCTTGGTCCCAAGAATCTTGCTTCCATCTCAGAATTTACCATGGTATACTTTAGTTATTTTATTCCTCACCATCTAAAGCAAGAATTTCTTGAAGCCCTAGGCTACTTGTTTTTTTAAGCCCTGTATCTCCAAATTCTGAAACAGTAATAAATACTTGAAGCATGTTTTATTGAATTAATAATCTCTTTTGGCAGAAGTTTAGGACTATGCCCCACTAGAAACATTCCATAATCATCTACTGCTTGAGAAAATTACAAAACATTACATGTCCAGTTCTAAAGAAATCAGTTTAATTTGCTGAATCCCTTTTTAACAATACTTTCTTGTGGCAAACATTAACATTCGAGGAATTAAGGGATGCAGGGATCATTTTGAGAATTTTCTATTAAAGGTGATGGTTTTCTTCCAGTGAGGCACATTTACTTGGTTCTCCTTCATCAGTGGTACCTGGCACCCAGATGTCACAATCTGGCACTCTTACTTCACTTGGATTCCTAAGGACATGGGCTTTGAATTAAAAAACATAGGCTTCAAATGAATTCTGATTGCTTATTACTAAATGGTCCTTGGGTTGCCCCTATTAGAAGATGGAACTTTTTATATTACCTTTATAAGATAAAGTTCATTTTTAAAAATTCACTTTTATTCTGGTTTTCATTTTAATTGCCACTGAAAATCATTTTCTTTTTTTGGAAAAATGGGAGCCAGAAATAAAAATACAATGTCCCCCATATTTTAATTATTTGGCCAAAAAAAACACATAATTTTCCTTTACCAAAAAAGAATTATCATTCCTAAACCCTGAAGGGCACCTGAGTAAACATAAACTAAAGGGGGAAAAACAGCTCTTCCCTCTATTGGCAATTACCATCTATAGCCAAATTTCCAAGTTAGCCCACATGTTTATGATTGCTCTCTTCCTTTTCCCTTTTTTGCTCTTCAGCCTTGGCCAGAGAGACAGAAATCATTTTATATAAAAAATATTTTTATGAAGCAAAAATTCATCATCAGCAGCAGACTTCTTTCATATTACTTTTGTTTTGAGTTTTAAAATAAAGACTATTTCCCAGGCAAATTTGTTTTCCTGTGTTATTTATTATTATGAAAAAATTACTTGGTTGGGAATAAAATTTTTAAAAATAACCTTTAACCAATTCAGTGCTTTTGCACAAATATTTGCCAAACATGTCTACACAAATGCTAAGCATCTCTACTGCATCTTTCAGAAGCATCACTATTTAAAGTAGAATCTTAGACAATTATTTAAAACTATTTTCATTCAGGGAGTGCTCGACCCTCCAAAATGTAAATGTGAACCTCCAATATGTACATGTGACCCACTTATGTCAGGGCTGTGGTTACAGAAGATAATGTAGGTCCAGATGGGAAAGCAGATGGACTGACTTCCCTTTCACCTGCTCCCCCTTACAGGTATGCCCCGCTGACGAGCTATGCAAGACTGAGCAGGACTCTCTGCTATGGGAAGCCCGTGGTGGTTCAGAGCTGGCAGCACTGTGAGCACCACACGTGGATGCCCCTGTTGGATGTCAAGACATGACCTGACCCCTTGCCCTGATTTCGGAACCTAGGGTGCCTGGGCCCCGAAAGCCTGCTGTTTCTCTCCTCAGGTAACAATGCCGGCTGTGGGGTCTCAAGTCCCCCTCGTACCCATCCTAGTAGCACCCATTTCCTGAACCCATGCAGAGTACTCAGCGCCAATCATGTCTTTAGTTTTTTGTGGGCGCTGAGTCTACACCCACTGCCAGGCACTAATGAAAAGTTTTTCCAACTGGGGTGCATACGTGATGCAGTGACAGACTTTTGGCCTTTCTGTGGGCACCATCATTCTCTAGATCTCCCTGACTTGGCTTTAGAGTTGTATCAGGGTGATAGGCCCGCGTATCGTGTATCATGTGTATAGTGTGTATAGTCTTCAGGATGAATGTATGTGTGCATACGTATCAGAGAGATATAGACAATAAAAGGTTTTATGGCTTAAAAATGCAGTTCCTATATTTTGTAAATAAAGTTACTTGGTCTATACCTGGTTTCTTGCCTCAATATTTGCTTTGTGTAAAAGCAGCTTTGTTATTATGGACTCATTTTCATTACCAGCTGCATAATGGAGCGCAGAGTTGCCTCTTATGTCCAAAATATCTGGATCGGCACCATGTTCTAGAAGAATACGAACACATTCTTCTTTCTGGCTTTGTACTGCCTGTCAGTATCACACAAAGAAATAGTAAATTCTAGGAATTAAGGTTAAACATTTCGTAGGTTTTGGCAATTAGCTAATTTAAATGAGGTTAATGTGGTAAATTAATTTCCAGTCAAGTAAACTAAGTCAAATCCATCCCATGCTGGTTGAGTTGGCTACCACATACCTTCACCAGAGCTGTCCTGTGCTCAGCATCACGCAGGTTAAGGTCGCATTTTCTCTCTACTAGCAGAGTGACCACTGCACTGTGACCATGGGCTGCGGCCAAATGGAGGGGAGTCCTATGAGAGTTAAAGGCGCCTTTAGGAAATCATAGTGCAAGATCTCAAATACACCACTACTCTTGGAGCTATAAACATCAATGAGCTAGTTATTCCTATGTCTCCACAACATCATTTTCTTGGGGAAAAGGACATTATTAACTCTTATCACTCACCACATTAATGAAAGAGCAGCCTGTTTGAATAGAAAAGCTTTGGACACAGTTCTACTGGACTTGAATCCTACTTTACTCTGGCACTTATCAGCTGTTTTAGCCTTTCTATGCTTCAATTTCTCTTCAGTGAAAGGGGGATAAAACAGTGTTGTCTCACAGAACACTGTGATGATATTACATGAGACTCTATGCAAAGTGTTCAGAATAGTCCCCAGCACAAAGAGCAACTCAAACTTATAAGATAATATTACTCTTATTACCACTAGCACCACTTTGTGGAGCCAATAACTCAAATAAAATGATTCAAGTACACCGACTTCGCAGGTATATTTAGGTTTGGAGGGAGAACCGTCCTTCACTGATTCTAAGATCTCCCAGCTTCTCACATATAACATCCCTGACACTGGAATGCAATGTATAATTCATAATGTCTCATAACCATAATTAACAGTATTTTAAAAAGTTTCATTGGTACAACAAATAGTGGGGAATCACATAATCCACAGTGTGGTACATTAAGTATAGTATAAACAACAGGTGTGCTGCAGTTCCACTCATATGATTGGCAGTTAAATAAACTGTAATTGTTTTTATTATTTTTCTTTTAATGCATGCTTTATTCTATGTACAACAAATATTATTTTTTACTTCCTCATATTTTCTTTTTTTTTTTTTCAGATGAGTCACAGACATGGTTTTATTAACTTCAGAATCAGATTGAGGACACCAATATCCTAAATGTATGGGATGCAGCAAAAGCAGTAATAAGAGGAAAATATATAGCAATAGAAGCTCACATCAAGAAACAAGAAAGAACTCAAAGAAACTACCTAATCTCGAAGCTCAAAGATCTAGAAAAAGAACAACAAAAAAACCCCAAAACCAGTAGAAGAAAAGAAATAATAAAAACCAAAGCAGAAATAAATGAAATTGAAACTAAAAAAAAAACAATCCAAAAGATCAATGAAACCAAGAGCTGGTTCTTTGAAAAAATCAATAAAATAGACAAACCCCTGGCCAGGCTCACAAAGGAAAAAAGGGAGAAAGCACAAATAAACAGGATCATCAATGAAAGAGGAGAAATCACAACGGACACAGCAGAAATCAAAAGAATAATCAGTAACTACCATGAATACTTCCTCATATTTTCCTTTAAAATTTCCTGAATTATATTTAAAGCATTAAGAGGCAAGAGAACTAAGCAAAGAATTTTTAAAAATGTTATTTTAAATTTTTAAATTATTAATTTTTACATCATTGTTCATTCTTAAACAGTATTTTCTTCCCCCCGCCCCAAGGTGTAATCCCCATAGAATTTCCTTCACCAATGCACCTGTGTACCATCACCACAGTCCTTTGTGCTCCTCCCTCCCTCCCTCTGATCCCTCTCCCTCCTCCTCCCCTGCAGGATGTCTCTGGCTTAAAATTGTCTGGTTTTGTTTTGTTGTGTCAACAATCAAAAATGATAAACTCATTTTTAGATGGAGCTTGAAAGAATTATGCTCAGGGCCTCCCCTGGTCGTGCAGTAGTTGAGCGCTGGGCTGCGAAGCTGCCCACAGCCTCTGCAGCACCGGTTTGATCCTCTGCCACCGGCGAGGGTCCCACATGGCACGACAGACCTCTCCTGCCGCGCCCGCTGCTCCCCTCAGCAGTGTATTTCGTCGGTCTGCCTGTTCTGTTCCCTGCTCTGGCTCTGGTGAGTTCTCTCACCCTCCCGTGCTTCTGATTGTACCCAGTGCTTGCATAAATAAATCAATCAATCAAAAAAAAAAAAAAGAATTATGCTCAGTGAAATAAATCAGAAAGAAAAAGAAAAATATCGGATGGTTTCACCTATAGGAGGAATACAGGAGACCCAAATAAGACATCAGTGTAAAAAAAAAAAAATAACAATATAAAAAATGATTCTTACTTCAAATTTTCAAGAAACTTTAGGCCAAAGGAAACATATGATTCCTATGAATAGAATAGGAATGCACTATTTTTAGTGGTAAATGCTGTGAAAGTCAGTATGCCAATTATGACTATTAGTATTCGATCTTATTATAAATTTTCAAATAGGCAAGTAAAGATAATCTTTTATAATTTCCTGCTTTTAGAAATGCTTTTGTTTCCAAGGAGGCAGGAAAAACTTCCACTGAGAATAGGCGATAATGCATTACTTCAGTTTGAAATTTCTCATCTTGCTCAGACTGGACATGTAGCTTTTAAGGATAAAATATGTAGAATATTTCTGCTATGTAATGATGAACAAAATTGGGTTGAATGAATGGATAAATACAGCTGGAGACTTCAATATGTGTATGATTTAATCTCCATTACTGTCCCTGGGAAAGTCATTACTCAAGTAGCAACCTTTCAAGTAGTGTAAACCAAGTCTACCTATGGGCTAACACTAAAGGCTGGGGAGTCAGTATAATCAACTTGAACAACCACCAGCTACAGCATCTAAGAGAGCTGAGGCTGCCACTCATTCAATGCTTTAAAAAAAGAAAAAAACTTTTAGGAAATAAAGCAAAACATTTGCTATAACAATAATCATCATTGATAATTATTTGTAACAATAATAATAGTAATCATCATATATGCTTACTATTTATATTTTCATAAATATGCTACTAAAATAACATGACTGGGACTTCCTGTTGGCACAGGCCGTTGAGCACCGCACTGTGAAGCTGTCCGCAGCCTCTGCAGCATGGGTTCGATCCCAGCAGTCCGGCAAGAATCCCACATGGTGAAGCAGAACTCTCCTGTCTCACCCCCTGCTTCCCTCAGCAGTGTATTTCTGTCGCCAGCCTATTCTGTTCCCTGCTCTGTCTCTGGCAAATCCTCTCACCCCCCGCATCTCTAGCCTGTACCCCGTTCTTGTATAAATAAATAAATCTTTAAAAAATAAATAAAATAAAATAACATGACTAATCTATAATTGTTTACATAGTAAAGTTATTTATAATCAATCTATTTAAATATATACATAATAATCAGCAAGTAAATATAAAAAGATTCACTATACTCTTGAAGGGGCAAAGTAAGTCAGTAGATACCAATCCTCAAGAAAATGCTTAAAAAATGGAAAAAAAAATTTTTATCTGTGGAACATCCATATTCCTGCTGTTCTCCACGATACTTCATTCATAATAAATTTATACTCATATTTGTATACATGTTCACTGCAAAATAACAGATTTTTCAAGGTTTAATTATAATGCAAAAGCTCAGAAATAAAAATTGGATCACATATTTTCAACTAACAGATTATATTGGGATGTATGTATTATCGCATGATGCTTTTCCTCACTAAATTGTCTCCCAATGTACATCTTTGCTACTCAACATATCTGTCTTTGTCACTTTCTATAGTAACAAATGATCCCATGAATGTACTGGTTTATTTACATAATATGTTGCATGACTCCTACCGAATACGCTATTTAAGCAGTGCTGAGAAAAAATAATTGCATGTTACACGTCTCTACTTCCTAAAAATATTTTACAATGAAGTTAACTAATGGGCAAAGGACTACATAATTTTAAATGTGGTACTTATCACCTAATTGCCTATTTGAAAAGGGAAAAACAGCTTAAAATGTGAGCCATACAGTAAGTGCCATTGCAGGACATTCCCACAAACACAGTAGATAGGAAATTATTTTTTGACTCCTTTTTCACATCAATTCCTTTACCACCTGGCCTAAACTCTTTGTTCACTGTACATTGGCCATTTGCAGTATTGCAAAAAGTCCAATTTCAAATAAAAACTTTCTTTCTGGTTGATTTAAAAATGATTCCTACTTGTAAACAGTAAGAAGATACATTTTTATCTGTTATTTAAAAAAAAGTTGTAAGCACATGGTACAATTTATTTTTGATAATAATATTCTTTTGATAAAGAGAGGGTTTTCATTTTTTATGTTGCTAGGTTGAATCTCAAAATTCTTCTTTTGAAAAGCATTCTTAAGAAACTGTCAACATCAAAAACAAAGCAGAAGATCTGGTAATGAACACACACAACCACAATACAGATGTGTGTATGCATGTGCATGTGCGCGCACACACAGACACACACACACCCCAAGGTAGCTGGATCAAGTGCCCAGGTATGCACTATGGGTGGGAAGGTCCACACTCATGTTCTAGCATGTGCCCCAAAAAAGACTCTTCGAGGACCATTCTATTGCTCTAATCCAAAACCAACCATGGAGAAGCCCTGCCCACAACATGGAAGTGCGCCCAGATTGACCCCTCTCCTAAAAGCATCTGTAGAAAAAGAGTGGAGATGTTACAAGCTTCTGGAAAAACAAGACTCTTCGGTCAAACATCAGAACATCTTCAGGGAGATCCAAAGCCTGAGAAGGATACCACTTTCCGTAGGCATCCTGCAACTCAACTAGCTGCAGCCACCGTTGCAGCCATGGTCATCACGACACCCAGGACAACCACCACTGGAAGCCAGCCGTACCCCAGTGCCAAGTTCTCAGCGATCTCACCTACATTGGATACCTCTGGAGATACCACACAGGTGAGAAACTGTGACTCCAATGAGGGCACTGCCACCACAGAACCCTGGCGACCCCAACCCTGGGCTCTCAGAGCTCTCACCTACATCCTCAGAGTCCCTCAGACACCGCACCAATGAGAAAGTGTGACCCCCAATACTTGCAACCTGTGTTCCAAGAGAGGAACAACAAAAGTTTAGAAGCAATGGGAAAACACTGAATCATCAAGAACTCCCGAAGGTGAAACAAACAAACTTCGACAGGATAGCATGCATGGAGCAGAGTGGGGGCTCCTGCAGGTCCCAAGCCTGCGATTGGAAACTGAGCTGAAGCCCGACAGGGTTC